AAAAAAAAAACCTAACAAAGGTTTTGCATCCAGGCGGCCCACTCATCTCTCATTTGCTGCAGTGTGTTGTTGGCTTCCTTTGCTTTCTCATCCTGTTGTGCAGCCTCACTCTTTGCAGCCAAAGCCTCACGTCTTTCTTCCTTGAGCTCAACTAATAATTTGCTTCTCTCGGCTTTAAGGGATTTAAGGTTGTCTTCTTCCTTTATTGTTGCCTTTTTCAACTCGGCAAGGCGGGCTTCTAGTTTGGCAATCTCATCTAGGTTGTCTTGATGCAGCTTCATTTGGGTGTTAATGTTATTTTTCACCTTTTCATAAATACTCTTTTTCTTCTCTACTGCATCTTTACATTGCCGAGCAAGAGCTGCAGCCGCGGTTGCTTCTGACACAACTTTCTCCTCATTCATAAACCGCTAGCTAAAGTTCTTGTAAACAGTAGGGAAATTGCTCCAGAACATACGCACTGATGCATCTAGTGTGGGAGCCTTGCTCAAGACCTCAGCAGCATTGAAAGCCTCATTTTGATCAACGATTTGGCAAAGTTCAGATGGATTACCATTCAATAGCTCAAGAAGAAGGTGGGTGGCAACATCGATGGATTCTTGAGAAGGGATATCCGGATTGTTCTTTTCTTCTTCTATGATCTTATCTTTTGAGTTAGGAGGCATGGACCTTTCTATTTCCAAGAAGTCATCCAAGAGGTCCAATTGAGCAAAAACCTCACTTTCAAGGACATCATCATCTATCTCAATCACGAGTGGAGTAGCCTGCAACCCATACGGCAGCCATGTAAAAAAATATATATATATTTAAGTGGCAGCAGGAAACATGAAGAAAGTACGTGTATCTACCTTTGCAGGAGCAATAGGCCTTGGCGGTGAGGTGATGACCGGCTGCAATTCTTCTCTTGTGAAGTCGGCTTCCTCATTGGATTCTATAGTTTGAAAAGATCGGCTTGTAACCCTAGGGGAAGACCGAATGGCTTTGGTCATTGAGCAAGGAGGATCAACCTTTGTGACTGCAAGCTTAGTGGAACTATGAGTAGATGCTGTTGCATAAAGTTGGATTAGTTTCATACAAGGAAAGGAGCAAAACAATGAAGGCCGAAAATTTACCTTTTGCAATTTTATTTGGTGCATCCTCTTTATCAGAAATCTGTGGAGAAGATGTTTTCCTCTTAGCAGGTTGCGTCTTTGGTTTCTCATTTGAGGAATTCTTGACTTTGCCAATGGGTGGATGATTTTCGGT